AAATGATTAATGATGTGGGGATTCGGGTATTGCTTTCCAGCTGTGTTGGCCTATATGTGTCACGTACGATGCTCATGCGATATGCAGTTTTTTTTTTTTGCTATCGTAGCTTATATAACTAAAGTATCGACTGTTGCCCAGCAATCAAGTGAATTCCATTCTTTTCGTCATATCTTATATACGAATAACGACGTCTATCAGAGTTTGTGGTTGCAGGTGTTGCTCATTAAAATTAAGCGGACTGTCCTGGTCCTCTACTGGTGTCGCATTTGTCTTATGCATATTTAATTGGTTTGGGGATGTTGCCATTTCCTTTCCGGAATGTAGGATAAAACACATCCTAGCTGTCCGTCGCTGTCTAGCTACATTTTTTAACACTTGTTATTAGAAATGACATTTTAAATTGATACATAATTCCAAGTATGAGTCGATGTCACGCACACAGTTGACATTCCTTCATTTATAGACATACTGGCGTTCGTAGGAAGGTACTCTTGTAATTCACTCTTCTGATGGTTTCGACCTTCAAATTTAGTATCTTCTTGTCCTTGTGACTCATGCTAATTTGATGTGTGCGATTCTCCTGTAGGTAAATGACTCTAAATACTTGCGACTCTAATGTCTACGGTTCTGATGTCCTCCCATGCCAACCGTTAAGGAAGGGGACGATCACGGGCCGATGCCACCGTCCTGGCGTGTGCACACTGCACAAACGACCCAGACGCATCACTGGCCTTGGCTCTATATCGGAGGCTGCTCGTAAATTTGAACAGACGGCATGCACTTTCGCCGTGACGTGCCGTGATGTGGTTAGAGTGACGGACGATTGGCTGCCCGGCATCCTGTCACGGTCCGGTGAAGTTACTCCACTTGTTCTGATCTAGATACGAGTTTAGCGGTGTATTTGTGGGATAAGTGGCTAGGGACTAGACATGATACTGACGATAGGAACATTGTCGACGGTAGTAGTAAAGATGACAACTGATATGCGTCTGCTGCAATATATCACTGCCGGGTACACAGGTTGTGATGATGTGGCTTCTGAACCCATCGCGAATAACCACATTAGATGCAAAGAACCAGGACTGGACTTTCCTGTGCCTTCATTCATTTGCACTCAAGTCCAATAGAATGAAATCGCTGGCCTGGTTGGTCGTGACCTATAGAGCCTTGGTCGTGACTCTGATAACCTACCTTGACGTCACGCACATTTTTGTCACGCCTGGACCGGACGTCCGCTGTCAGTTCTGTGCGCCCCGGCCGCGCACGCTTATTCAACCCATTTCGTGCCTCCCGTGACCCACCCCCGCCCCTCCCCTCCAGTCACACTCACAGTCACAGGGCGTGACCGACTGTGCGTGGCGCCGATTTCACGCTCTGTTTTCTATCTCTGTGAATATGCGGTCACGGACTGTTGGCTCCCTCCAAGCGGGACGTGAGAGCCGCTCTGATCTGGGCAGTGTGCGCAGTTTTTGTCCGGAGAGCCTGCTAGGATATCCGCTCTCGTGCGCCGCCGGCTGCGATTTCCCTGTCGATAGGGCACGGAATTGTTGGTCGTCGTGTCAGATGAATAGGGGGTGAGATGAGGGGGGGGGGGGTGAGCGGACAGAGGGTAGGAGACAGAGGGGGCAGGGTCAGCACTGGAAGATGGTTCGGCTCTCCATTATTATTTTATTTCCGGATGGTCAAGGCTAGGGTTTTGTGGTTGTCCTATCCTTTATCCCAAGTCGTCATTCACTTGTCGTCTGTTTGATGGAAATGGTCGCGTTAGATCGCGCCGGTGGGAAGCGGGGTGCGATCGGACGTCCTTCCGAGTATCACTGACGGCACCGTGTGGAAAGACGATACTCCAGGTATACCTACGGTCTACCTCACGCGCCCCTCGGCCAATGGACATGAGGCCTCACCCTTTCTTTTTGCAGCGAATAATGCCTGCCGGCGCAATCATTTTCTATGTTTGGAGGTTTGTCTATGCGTTAGCTCAGACCGGAGATTTCTCTGAGGATGACTTCGGAACAACACGGAACATGCTCGATGCTCAATGACAGACCACTTAACATCGATAGTCGACTCGGATCGATACCTGTCGTTGCGGACGCTTTCCTTGCCCTGTATCTTGATTTGTCGAATTGTTCAGACATTCGATGTGAGGTCTAACCATACCAGTTCTAGATGACGTTCGCGGTCCATAAAAGCTGAACATGGACCCAGGGTTCAGTGACCCCTTGTCACTTCAGTTGGATGTTTGTCCCGAGTGATGCGCTTGGACGTGTTTTGTTTGCCTAGAGTTTTTATCGCGTGTTTTTGGCTGTTAATGAGCTATTTTATGTTACATTTATGAGTGGTTGAAGATACGGCTGGCTGGATCAGCTATTTGTGTGTTGTAAAGGTTCTCTTCTTTGGGTAATGGCGTACGGGCCTAAAAAAAAAAAAAATGTAAAGTATGCTTTACAAAGGTTATATTATTATTCTTTTCTGTTACGCTTTACGGCAGCTTCCATTTGATTTTGCCTCCAACGAGGCTTCGATTTCCCTCATTAATTGCCCATTTCATACCGATCACCATCACTCAGACACCCACCTTCCATCTGTCCATGGCTGCACAGTGCTCAGTTCCACCTGTCCTATCTACTCCAGCGTTCCTCCGTGCCTTATTCCACGAACGGCGGCCCGGCCTCGTCGCCAGATGGGCCGAGCCGGGCCCGGCTGTCTCTCGTGGGTGCACAAATGGACGCCAGGTGACTCGCGCCGGCAGACATTTATCTAGTAGCGCGTTTGTGGATCATCTCCCGAGTGTAATCGTCATTCGCCGGGCTACTACTAAGGGAGGGCGATGATGGATGGTGTTTCTCCGTCGGATCCGGGGCAGTGGCCTTCTGGTCATGCCAGCGAAGATGCGAGGCCGATAGGAATGGCTAGGGGGGGGGGGATCCGGATGTCATAGAAGTGTTTTCGACCGATTGTCGTTACTCGGAATAGCTTCTAAACTTCGCATTTCCATGCTATCTTGCGTTCAGTGCGATAAAAACCTATCGCAAATCTGAACTTGTTTCTTACCACGCCAGAGCCAAAGTATCAACATGTGCATGAATCCATACCTTACACGACTAAGCTTCAGTATCTCCGTCCCGAGCATCCCGCAGGAATCATTTCACGTCTGACTGGGGCCAACTCCCAAGTACCCACATTTCACCGGCAATGTTTGCGCCGGATTAACTCTGGCCCATCCAGAAGCGCGCTGGCACGTGCTAAAGTAACACAGCGCGCCTCTGGGCCGCTCTGACCTCGGCATCACGATGTGGACCGACCCGCCACCACCGCTGCCGGGAGGTCATCATTTTCAACTGCAGACCGGGCGGCGGACGGCGCGGCGGGAGGCTCACAGCCATGCATACCACCTTATGAGCGGACTCTCCAGCTATAAAGACGTGGCGCTCCGTCAAAACTGGAGCTACTTATTTCCCAGAGGAGCCGTGGCCACATTATCAACTTTTTCGGTGCGGCAAAGTTGGTGCCCTTCTCTCTGCGGCGGCCAACTTGGCGCTTTGAGATGCGCCGCACATTGAGAAAATGTTGGGATGTGGGTGGATTACGTGGGCGGATGTTACGTTACCGCGGAATATCACTGTCCGTTTTAATTATGTCGTTGGTAATTATGGTACCATATTCGGATCACTTTACAATGATAATTATGCACCAGAAATCAGTGTTTTCGTTGATTTCGGGCAGTCTTGACCTACGGTTACACGCGCCGCCTCGCAGGGCTTTTGTCATTCTTCACCAAATGTATGGGTCCGTTCGATGCCCACGTAATCAATGTGTCATTTTGTTAGCCTGTTTTTTTCCCCGAGGTTTAGCTAAACATCAATGGACTGTCTCTGGTCGGATATCGGAAATATTACCGCATTGGTTTGATGCATGTTTCTATGGACAAAATCTGAGCTAGGTTTACGTCTTGGTCTGCACAATCATTTTGTAAATGTTAAGTCCGCGCTTACTATGCATTGTCGATTTTGTTTAAACTTGAATGATATAGTTGAGTATACATATTTCAATGAATCAAATTAATCAATCAGACTTTTAAAACATGAAAAATGTGATACAGAGAAACGATTAATTTCATAAACTGAACGCTCCTGTTTTCAACCTTGTTGAGTTCAGTTCCTTCGTCTGCCTGTTATTCGTAGTTAACGAATACAGCCTAAATTAAATATTTCTTATGTGTTGGGACTTTAATAAAGCTGTCATTCCAGAAGGCGGCTGTCATTTATCTTTGCTAACTTGTGGACGAAGAGCGAGTGTTCTAAACTGGCTGAGTGATAGCGAAGTTTGTTTTGAAAGAGACATTAAATATGTAGCGGCCTACGATACGACACCACATTTTGCAAGATCCCCTCTGTGGTGTCTACTGACACGGATTTTTTCACCACCTTAGATTTATGTTTCCTGTAGTGTACACAAGCTACTCGTAAAAGTGTTAAAACTAAGCAGCTATCTGTTTCGTTATTGTCAACGTTTTTGTGTTATGGATCAAAAGTATGCGTATGCATTCCATTATTAGGCTGCGCACTTCAACGTCAGTCGTCATTTAAACAAGAACATTGAATATGTTACTTGTATCATGCTCCTATCTAGCTTTTTGCATCTTGCCATATCAACTCCACAGACGTTTGAGCACTGTCCAGTGTCTATAGGTACTACCAGCATAAACCCTTTTTATATCGTCACCGATCGACATCATATTTTCTGCACTAAAAAGGCTCCGCCATTCCGTGAGTTATTGTCTACCTGAAACGTAATTTCAAGTCATTTATCGACTTCACGACCTTTCAGTGCCAACGTATAATGTTCATGACCCCCACGACCCATCCACAGCCTTTTGACCTCGCATTGTCTCACATTCCTTCGCAGCCTGCATCCCACGACCCCTTCACCAAAGCGACCCCATATGACCGCTCCTGGCCGACCCCACACTGACCCATCACCCCTCTTCTCTTCAGATGTCGCGAGAACCAGTACAGCGCCAAGCTGCCGGATACCGCCGTCATCATCTGCTTCCACAACGAGGCGTGGTCGGTACTGCTGCGAACCGTCCACTCTGTGCTCGATCGATCGCCCGAACACCTTCTCAAGCAGATCATCCTCGTGGATGATTTCTCCGACATGGGTAAGTAGTAAGAACCTACATCGGTAGCGCTGTGCTCCCATGTGTCTTTCGGGTAATATCAAGGACTTTGACCGAAGGTCCTGGTGAAGTGGCATCGTGAGTGTGTCATGAACTTGTGGTGCTGTGAAGACTAAGCACTGTGGTTTGTAGTGGTTGCATGTACGACAAGTTACCTACGGAGCTGTTGGCTTCAATATCGACATGGTGTAAATAGAGTGAATACCTTATGCTCATGTTATATGTTGCAAATTGATATAATTAAAACTAAATTGATATATTTCGATATTGCACCGTCATCAGAATAAGAATTCTTATTCTGATGACGGTGCAATATCGAAATATATCAATTTAGTTTTAATTATATCAATTTGCAACATATAACATGAGCATAAGGTTATTCACTCTATTTACATTATGAATCATGCTCAGAAATACCATAGCTTACCTCCTAGATATCGACATGATTTTACATAAGAAGATTGCGCCTCAATGCCCACTCTGGGTTTACTCGCCTCAGTCGTTCAGCCCCAAAGCCGAACTGTCGACTTCGAGCGCCTGCCTCGACGGACAGACGGAGCAGACGCCAGACGGTCGCTCGTACCCGCCTCCGTCCGTCTCGAGGCCCGCCTGTCGACGGTCACGGTCGGCCGATTCCGCTCCTGTTGGTCATGCTGTGAAGGGACCGATGCTTCGTCGAAGGACGAACGTGTCTGATGGGTCATCACACTGACCGCTCCGGTCACTGACGGACCCGGCGGTGACCTCGAGGTCATTGAGCCCCGATCGCGTGACATCCGGATGGTCCCCAATGAAAGGAGGATGGGTGCGTAAACCGGTTGGCGCTTGCAGCAGGACACTTCCTGATTGACGTGAATGCAGAGAAGAATCGTCTTCGGAATAGTTCGACAATATCTATTTCGGAAACTGGTCTGTTGAATATGCTCATGACAGATTTCATAGCATATACACGTACGTGATCAGTTAACTTAATGTTAAGATTTCATATTGCATTCCTCCTGATTTCATATTGCATTCATCCTGAGTCCTAAATGCATTCATATGTAGTTTTTAGAAGTTTCCTAACCTTTCACCACTGACAAATCGTCCGTGACTGTCTTATATCGTCATCCCCAGTGTAACAGCGTCGATACCGTGCGGGGATAATACCGACAAACTGAACCATCACGACTATGGAAAATGCAGTGTTCCAAGGCCCAGCCTACATTCTGCCTTCCACGACGACACGACTCATGCTCACGAAGCCAAACACTCAGAAACATTTGCACACACATTTGTGTCACCAGTCACGAGCTTTCTTAGCTTCAAACCATTTTTCCTCCGCCTGCTCTTCGGACGCCTTAACATTGCCTGTTGCGAAGCGACATTTGGGTGTCCCTCAGCCGGTCTGGTTATGGGTCACCATTGGTGCTGGTTTTTGTCAGCTGACCTCGGCATATTTATAACGATGGAAGTGAACTTGTGACTTGATAGACGGTTATGACCTTGGTAGGGCGAGGAGGGCTAGTATGCATAATGGGATACTGTATAGTTTTTAGCAAATACTCAAACCCCAAGATGTTTATCATTCGATAAAACTTGTTGCACTAAACCGGGGGCACGACTTAATCCTGAATTGGGACATCGGCGAACGAGCAGCCTGCAAACTAATCAGAATCAGATATCTGCGACAAAATGGTGGAAAAACAACGACAAGAAGCTGTCATGCTGGCACTAGTTTGTGCAGTGTCTCGACTGAATAGTCGGTACTTTCGAAATAGATAGCGGCATAATGTCTGTTAACCGACGCCTGAGAAACTGATAACAGGTCGGAATTCAACTTCAAAAGCAGGTATTGTGTGCTGTATGCATTCTGAATGCCTAAACTAAACATGCCGTGCTAGTTATCAACGTTTTATCGTTGGTCCTCGTCGAGAAGAAAGGAAGCGTTGTGGAATCACCCCATCCATCGTCAATATCTGAACGCTTTGAAACTGGTTAAACAAATGCCATGCACATTGTGAAATGTTGAGCGATGTCAAGTTGGATATGCTTATCAAATCTCAAATAGCTTCAAATTTCTGCTTCGCATATCAACATGTCTTTAGTTTAAGCATTTTCATGGTGAACAAGCAAGGCTTCCGTTGACAAAAGAAGGTAAACGTATCCAGCACGTCTCTTTAAAGACCGCCATATGAGAGCGCTGTGCTGGTCTGCGTTAGTAATCGTCTTCTCTTCGTCCCTGAGCGCTGCTGCTATTGTTACGGACCGCCGGTCGTCTTTGTGCACTCTCTGGGTCCATCAATAACCGGCGGCTCGCCGTGAGAAGAAACCAGGATGACCGGGAGAGGCGAGCTCCCTCCCTGGTCCGACCGCGCCCAGGTGCGCCCAGCTATCTGTCACAGAGCCTCGCTACAGCGCAGCGGTGACAGTGTCGGACCCGAAATCCCCGCGTGCCTGTCCTAATCTCGCGACACAGGTCTGACTTAGGACGCTGATTTAAGCCGAAAGCGGCCCCAAAATACCCGGCCCGACTGGCGTGCGTGACACTCGCTGGGACGGACGGTCGCGTGCCGCCGGCTCCGGGCCGTCGGGAGGGCCGGGAGGGGTCAATATTTTGGGGGGCGGCCGGGAGCCGAAGCGGTGTGTCGTCTCGGGCTTAATTCGTTCGTATTAGTACCGGCGGGAGCCTGGTGCCTGTTGTCTGGTCGATGCTGGTCGATGACCCTGCCTGCGAGTACCCCGCGGCGACAGGCACGACGGGACAAGTGCCTCCGAGGTGTAGCCTGATTTAGCATCCCTGCGGGGCATGTTCTGCCACCACATTGGTTCGTGGGTTAATCGGCTTCCGTGGCCTGTCCCCTCCCCCTGATCGGTTTAGCGGTCGTGATTAGGGCTTACGACCCGGCGTGATCCAGTGTTGACGCTGGGACCACGGGTTCAATTAGGAATTGTGGCCGGGTGCCGATGGAGTGTAATCAATTTTCGCACCCGCCTTTCTATTGCTTTATTCGACATAGATTCATGCAAGAGATTGTCAGTTCGTGAATTTATCTTGATGGCAAATGGGGCCTTTCGAATCACGCTGTTTCTTTTAGAACTGTATTTTCCGTGATTTTATTAATTCCGTGACATATGTTGCTAGCGTTGAGGTCGCTGCCAGTGATCTAGTCGTGAGCTGGGGTTTATTTGGCGTTTCGAGTCCGGTTGTGACGACATTTCGCCTGAATGGTCGCCGATTAGAGCTGCGGTATATCGGACCGCGTGCCCGGCTTATGACCGCCCCGCGACTGCGGTCGGTCTTCATTAGTGGGTGGCGAGAAGCGTCCCCAGGAGGCCGGCGCCGAGCCGAATGGCGTATTAGCCGCGCTGGCCGGCTCTCGAGGGGACTCTGCGGCCACTCCAGCCGGCTAGATGGGCTTCCGCTGATCCCCTGGGATCCGCGACTCCGACGGAAGGGGGAGAGCGGAGGAAGGTCCGTATTGTTCTGTCTTTGGAAATATGACGTCAGTCACTGGTGATGAACCGGGACGTGGCGACTGGGTCCGAAGTTTCAGTGGACTGGTGATTAGTGTTATGGGAGCTGAAGGTTATTTTGAACTCAAGATGCCTCGATTTCGCTGACCCAGATGAGGCTTGGAGTTTTGGATTGCCGAATCGAGAACAATGCCGTTTTCTGCGATTGTTTGTGCCCTGCAGTCTATTGTGTAGTGCCGCTCACTTTGCGGCAAATTTGTCGCTTTGGCGCTTAGGTGTGACGCTGCGCAGTTGTGCACCATTCGTGGTTGCCGGCTCAGTGGGTCCTGCACGATGTTGTTTATAGCGGAACCGTGCACGAGGCTGCAACTATTGCAACTCCATGTGATGCCTGCACTCGCTGCATTGTTTGCTTGCAGTGTGGGGGATGTGACTTTTTTGCGGTAACCAATATTGGCGTGAGAATTTACTACTGCCAAGGATTATGTGTCGTGTATTTTTGCCAAACGTTACTAGTGGAAAAGTAGTACCTAATTCAGGAGTTCGAATGCTCTTTCATTGATGGTGCGGAGAGCTATATCGCGGCTTTCGCTAGAAGTGGCCTTGTGTGGTCTTAGTTCGTCTTTGGTTCAATATGGCGTCATGCCATAAACCGATTAAGATATGCATTTTCATAAGGGCAGTTAAGCATGCTGTACCTAAATATGATGATTGATGTGATTGCTGTCATTATGACCATACTTACATAACAATGACTAAGTACTAGCAATATGGACATGCGCTTTGGCTGTAAAAAAATATGTAATGTTTTGTACTGACATGAAACATTCAAGAAAAGGCAAAAGGCATTACGATAAGTACGTCGATAAAACGTTTGACATCCTGCATGTCAGTTCTACCTTCAGATCGGTGTTTATTGGGTGCCTCCTTAGTCCCAAAACCATACCTACGGGTGTCCATACGGCATACCTCCATAGTGACATCAGCAGGTTCGCCAATACACGGCCGCAAATCTAAAAACCTCAAGCGGACCCGATTTTTGTTATTCTATCAGCTGTCGCTTGAGGTCAGGTGTTGTGGCGACGTGTGCGTGCCGAGTTGGACCCTCCATCGGGACTCCATCGGGGCACCTGTTTGGCCCGCGGTATAATAGGTTCACCTGTCAACTCGTCCGTCGGGGGGTCGGCATTGGTTGGTCGGAGGGTAGGAAGGTCTCATTAGCGCCTCCAGATAGTGCAGCTGCCACCCTGCGGTGAACGATTGGCGCCCTGGGCTGTCGCGTGCCACGCCGCCAACTCCTCGGAAGCGGGGCTCAGGAGGCCGCACGCCAAGGTGTTGACACCGTCTGGCGCGTCGATTGTAGTGGTGATTCCGCGGACAGCGCGGCTTTGCTGGCCGGTTTGTGTCGACGGCCTTGCCAAAAATCTGTTTGATCATTGTGTCGGGATTGGATCATCACCTGCATGCGATGTTGTAATGGGAGCCGGGTGGTTGGCGGTGACCCGTGTGTCTCTCTGTTTGTTCAC